TATAATCTAGTTTGGGGTTTTTAAAAATTTGGTCTTGAAAGCATTTTGAACTCTTTACTCCAGCACTGGGCTACAATTTATTTATGAATGTGCAAATAAAAAACATTCTAATTCCGGACACTGGCCTGGAAACTACCCAACAGGAACACAGTCATGTCCCTGGAGGCCCTTCCTGGGGAGTCTAGGGGAAAGCCTCTTCCCCAGTCCCTGTCCCCACGTCTCAGCCACTTCAGGTGCTGGACAGAAAAGGGGCCTACTCACCTGCCCAGAGTGTCCACAGCACAGGTCTCATCTTCCCCACAGTGGTCTCGCTTCTTCTCTGCCCCAAACCCAGCCTGGCACTGCAGGCACCAGACAAGTCCAAGCTGACTGGTTAAAGCTAGGGTAGCCTCTGGCCTGGCCCAACCTGAGATCCCTGCAGTACTTCCTCTTCCCACCCACTTCTGCCCAGCCTGGCCCACATGCCCGCCTCTCAGCTGGATTGGCAGGTGAGGCCACCTGTGGGCCTGGGCTCATGCTCCACCTATTCCACCAAAGGTACTAAGAGGAGTCTTCCTTACCTTCCCCTTGAACCAGTCATCTCCTCTGACTTTTCCCTGTTTAGTAGGTGAACAAAGTCCTAGACTTCTCAGAGAGGTGTGAGACTCTCTTATAACTGACAGGAAGTTATTGCCTTGTAATAAAAAGGGAAATGCTCTCAGAGGTAGGGTTCCAAGCTAGTAAAAGAAAGGTGCTGCCCATACTCGCTGAAACATGTCGAGACAGTGTGATCTGTTCCTCTCCTTTCTCCGTTTCTGTAACCCCCACCCCACATCATACCAGAGGTACAGTCACGAAAAAGACAGAAAGCCTCTGCCCTCAGAGTTTATGATTTGGTCAGGAAAGTAGCAAGTAAACAGAGAAGAACACCTTGGGGATAGCGTGACCAACTCGTCCCAGTTTTCCTGGGACTGTTCCAGTTCTCAAACCAAAAGAATTCCCCTCAGTCCCAAGCAACTGAGATGATGGTCACCCTCCTTAAAGAATGCTAAATTACACGGGGAACATATTTCTCCAGGAGCAGCCTCTGTTACTAGCTTCTTCCATAGATATTTTATATATAAGATCAAATATACACAAATAACAGTATGCCATATATGTTGTTCTGCACTGTTTATTTTATTTTATTTTTTCAGACAGTTTTTTGTATCAGTACATGTAGCAGAAACCACCATCTAGTTAACAAGTGACAGTATTCCACCGTATGTGACATTATTTAATCAAACTACTTGTAGGATCGTCTTGCCTCACCTTTCACAATGGAAAGAGTTGCAGCCAATATCTTTTGGTGTACATTTTTTTCACACATGCTGTGATTATAAATGTAGGATAAATTCTTAAAAGTATGATTTCTGAAATGACTAGGTCAACGGTTACGCATATTTGTAATGTTTGTAGATATTGCCCACTGTCCTCCATAAGGATTTTACCAGGCTACACTTCTATCAGCAGCATGGGAGAATGGCTGTCTCCCCACGAACTCACCAATACATTTATCAAGCCTTGTAACACAATTATCAAACTTTTGTTCTTTGCCAATCTAAGTGAAAATGATATCCCGTGAATATATAATTTACTTTTTAAAAAATTATCAGTGAAATTGATGTCGTTTCATATAGTTGGGCATCATTTACATTTCCTTTTCTGAGACTAGGTATTCACTTGCCCACATTTCTATTGGGTTGTTGGTCTTTAGCTTGTTGGTTTCTTTTATTTTATAATTATATAAATTTTTTATTTTAAAATTGTGGGGTACAGTTAAGGGTTAGGTATACAAATATGCATTGTGCAGGTACCCTTGTTGATGAGGTATGCCCCCTCCTTCCCCAGACAGATATTGACTACCATTAATCCCACCTC